ATAAATAAAGGTGAAGCAACGTTTTTGGAGGCTGTGCCTTTTTGTAGAGAAAATTATTTCTCTTTTCTTTGTTGCTCTTCCGGAACGTCTTTGATCGAGAGAAGTTTTTCACAGAAAATATTTTTCCTCTCGTTTTTTATTGTTCCATCGTGATACGTGATTTTCATAGAAAATATATCGGCTTCAAGGCCTTGTGGTGAAGACACCAAGATTCAAGGAGTATCACAAGTTTGCTTCTTCTATATAAAAAGAAGATCGGTTCTTCGGGAGAGGGGCTTAAACAGATCTCGGGAGGAGATCGATCCGCCGACTGAGGGATTCAGCGTTGAAGGGAGTTCAACCGTGCGGAGCAAGGGACGTGCTGCAAATTGAAGATTTATAATTCAGCGTAGTATACGAGAGCGGCGTCAACAAAGAGGGAGTCTTTGTATTTTGATTAAGTCCTATTATTGTATTCGTAAAACTAAAAATTAGTAAATTTTATTTGCAGGTCCCCGTGGATGTAGGGTACAATTGTATCCGAACCACATTAAAATTTGTGTCTCGTTTATTTCTGTTTTTACGAACTGCTTCACAAACTATTGCATTACTTAACGCAACAGTAACGAAAAACTGAATCTGACACAAATAATTTATATCTGCACGAATAAATTCTAACACATATATATCATAGTTTTCATTTTCATGTTAACCTCTACTTGTTGTCAATTAATTAGAAAAGTAATCCTACGTGCATGTGGCCTAAATTAGATCTTACTAGTTATCATATTTTAACTATAGGTTAGCCGACTCAAAGAACCTGATTAACTAAAAAAATAGTTCGATCATATATAGGATAATAATGGGAACGCTGATATAAAAATGTAATAATATACATTTTGATTAATTGATTAAGGCCTCGTTTGGTTGCCGAGATAAGATTAGCCAAAATAAAATAAAATAATATAATAAACCTAATTATTTTATCGGATCTCTTGACGTCCATAAAAAAAAAAGTACCCTAAAAGACAAGATAAGCCATGATTACATAATTTTGGCGGGTCGACCCGGCAATTTATTGAGGATACCAAATATCAAATTCAGTCCAACTATTAGTTAATCATGGCTTATCTTGGCAACTAAATGGGGCCTAAGAGTATGCATTAGTGTAGGTTTTGGAGCTGGGAATAATAGTACACTCGATAGTGATTGGGTTGTCACTTGGCGCCTCTAACAGCACATGCTCGAACAAAAGACTTATCGATGCACTCTGCTTTCATCAAATGTTCGAAAGAATGGGACTTGGTGGTTGCATTCTCCAGGCGGAGTACAAGTTCATAAAGAAGGCAGCAACGGCATTCTTCTTCAGTGTGACAACTCCATTTGGAATAGCATTGGGATTGGGATTGGGATTGGGATTGGCTAGCACATACAAGGAGAACAGCCCTCGATCGTTGATCACCGTTGGATTGCTTAACGCATCATCTGTATGATTTTGGTGGATCTATAGGCTGCTGATTATATGGGGCCGAAATTGCAGGGAAGTATCAAACTCCAAATCAAGTCTTATATAGTCGTTCTCTTGGGTGCCGGTGAGATGTCACTCATGGCTAAATGGGCTTATAATATATGTAACATATGAATGTAGTATGATTGTTGTTTTTGAAGACAACACAACAAATGTTGTCTTTTCTAGTTTGTTCAGATATTTGTTGTCTATTGTATACGTGTCATTCTTGATGGAAATTTGCCTATTTCGTCGGCTCCACTTTTTGAAATGTAAATGTTACCCATTAATCTTCCTACCTTTAAAAGTACCAATGTTTTTTTGTTTCTTAATTTTTTTGTGATACCTATTATACCCTTATTAGTAACTTATTATATATGTATATATTACTTGTGGTTATTTGTTAATTAAAAATGTTATTTAAATTGAAATCAATACGTCCAATCAAATATATTGGCTGAGTAGCTCTCTCTCTTTGTTTTTTTTTTAAATATGTTTTTTGGTTTATTTTGTTCTTTTATTTAACACATGGACAAAATATGAAATGTTGGGAACTATGTATTCCATTTATTGGAGAAATCAAATTTCACTAGGATCTATTAATCATCAGAAAATAATTATTTTAATAGTCAGTCAAATATTTTTAGTGGCTTGATTTAATTTCATGGTTTACATCTCAAACCTCTACAATATTTTTATTTACTATTGATTTCATTGATATAAATTTATGGCTTTTCTTTTATTGAACTGTGTAAAGTAGATAAACATCTTTAATAATAAAAAAAATTAAATGAAACTTTTATAACCCATAAAATGAAAATACATTGGATTTAGTATGTCTGCTTAATATGTTTTTATGAAAAAAGTATGGTAAGATGATACTTTAATAAATGATATGTAAGTGACAAAACTCATTGAAATGATGTTATAGAAAACAAACGGATAAATTCTAATTTTTTAATGGTTAAAAAATTTGTTTAAAGTTATTGTTTGGTGAGTTCATGCATTGACGATTTTAATTGTTTTACCTAACATAAACATGTTTTAATGCTGATAAATAATTTAAAAAATATATTTTCCGTTACCATAAATAGATACAACATTCAATTGTTAAAAATATTCCGTGTTTAAAGTTAGTGTTTGATGAATTACGTGTGTTGGATGATTTTAATTGCCTTGACCAGCATAAACTCATTTTAATATTGATAAACACTTTTTAAAATATCTATTTCATTAGCGTAAATATTTTTTTGTTGGTCAAGGACCTTCCACAAAAAACTCCCATCATTTGAAGTTACCTTTAGCATTGTTTGTAAATTAATTTAAACTAATTAAAAAAATCTAGATAATTGACATATATGGAAAGTATCAAAGTTAAATTACATGGAACATCAATATAGTGATCAAACTGTTCCAAATTCTTGAAATGTAAAGATGAACCACATTTAGGGGTGGAAATCGGACTGAATGAATTGAAAATGACTTTTTCGGAAAAAAATCAAGTGTTTTCGAAAATAAAAAATGAGGTCCAATTTTTGTTCCAAAAAATTCGGAATTCTAAAATCAATTATCATTTCGGAATGCCTCGGCATAGGCAGAATTTCAGAAATTTATAATATTTTGATCCAAGTTCTGACATAATGCAAATTTTCATAATGTTTTCACTATTTTTGGGAATCTTCTAGCAAAATGCACGACAATCCAAAAAAAAAATCAACAAAATGCAATAAATAAAATCATATGTAGAAAAAACATCATGCAACACAGAGTTTCAGATAAAAGAAAAAAAAAGTGACAAATAGTTTCTAATACCAATCAATATTTTCTATGGTTTTTAGTTTATTTGGTCCTTGGGTATTCATATTTTACATATAAAATATAACATATATTATATTATGAAATTACAAAAATATATCATAAAATTATATTATAGATTTCAAAAAATAATCAAAATATTTGGAACTAAAATCAAATCGAAAGTTTGAATTTTCGGTAATTTTATACACAATTTCCATTCCGTTCAAAAAAATCAGAAAAATCGGAAATTAGAACTTCGCCATCGGAATAAAAAATACAGTTACCAATTCGGATATTTTCTTACCAGAATTCGCTAAATTCTGAAATTTCATTAAGATTTCCACCCCTAACGACATTGCATTTTTTCTTTTATTTTTCCTTTAATTTATTTTATGAGACATACATACGTATGATGATGTTTTTTTGTTCGTCATATATCTTACCATTTTAGATGTTATTACAATATGTTATTGAAAGAATGTTTAATGATGTTAATTATAAATGTATTAAGATTACCTATACTAGTTTATCATCAAATTAAGTTGATATACCAAATTGGGCCGACCCAATGGGACCCCAGTTTATCTAATAATTGGGCCCACTATACGAAAGCCCAATTGGACCCGATACACGCAAGCCCAAACACCTTCAAAATAAGGCTTGAGCCCAACAAAGTAAACCCAACCCAATCAACGACATATAAATAGAGGTTTTTACTCATTTTGTTAATGTTCGTTCTATTATTCACAAGTATTCTAGATCACGAATTCTCTATACCATCTCCACGATCCGTACATCTGACTTGAGCGTCGGAGGGGTTTCCGCCGGATCAACCCCCGGCTTAGTTCACGTGTGTTCATTTCGCAGGGAACTCATGATCATCAAATTGGCAAGCTATTGATCCGTTTTTCTCTCCTAGCTCGTTTACCACACTACCCCAGGTGATCTGTGTAATTAGCATCATCATTTTGGCGCCGTATGTGGGAATGCAAACCAGATCACGTAGCCAGCAAGATCCTCATGAGTCATCTGCTCGGAGAGAGAATGACACAGCTAACAACCTCCCGATCCGCGGAGGCTCCGGCTTGCCACCTCCTCCCCGTGCTCCCGATCCCCTCGCGATGTCCAAGTGAATCCCCCTCGGGATCCATCCCTCGCCGATCCACCACTCCCTGCTCCCCGAACGGTTCAGATAACCGAGGATGCGCTCCAACACATGATAGCAGAAGTCTCAACTCGCGCCGCCGCAGAGGCCGTGACCCAATATATCGCCACGATGGGAGCAAATTCTCCCAACGCGATACCCAAACCTGCTCTACCTGTGGTGTCGCCCATGGCACCACCGCCAGTCCAAAATCGAATAAGTGTGTCCTCATCCACTTCGGACCCACGGTCCTCGGTGCAACTATCCACTAATCACAGGGGAGCACAGCCCAGACATCAACGTCAACGCTCACCCCAACGGGGTAACACGTCTCCACAGAGAGTCCCTCTCTTTAATGAAGGAGAAGGCGAGGTAAACAGTAGAATGTCTCGCCAAATTTCCTTCCCCCAATTGAACAATCCAATTGGCGGAAGAATGCCTGCCCCAGCAAGACGCAATCCTTTCACCATGGACATCCTAAACGAGGTATTACCTCAAGGAGTGAAAATCTCAGGATTACCTTAGTTTGAAAGAACCACCAACCCACAATAACACATAGAGAAATTCCACGCCATGGCAGATTTGTATGGGCCAACAGATGCATCAATGCGCAAGATGTTCCGCACCACTCTCTCCAAGCGGACCATGAATTGGTTCAACTCTCTACCTTCAGGATCGATCGACACCTTCTCTCGATTATCGCAACGCTTCACCAACCAATTCGCCATCAACAAACAATATGCCAAGACCCCAGCACACCTTTTCTCCGTCATACAGAGAGACAACGAAACACTCCGCAACTACATCAAGCATTTTGTGGAAGCTGTCCAAGAAGTCCCAAGCGTAGGACAAGACATGCTCTCCCGGATCATGCACCAAAACTTGAAGTCGGGTAGATTCAAAGAATCCATTGCCGGAAGGCCTCCTAGAAACCCAGATGAATTGTTGAATCGAACTGATAAATACGTACGAATGGAGGAAGCTGTTAGAGTAGGCGGCCGAAGAACCAACTAATTGTTGTGTTTTCTCACGCTACTCGTAAATAAATATTTTGTATTAATGATAAAAACCCCCTTTGGCATTCTATATCTTTGTACATTGCATAAGCATAAATGTAGTCCTTACAGTTACTTAATTACTATAAATATATCTAGTAGAATCGTGAGATTATTTATTTAATTATAGTAATTGTTAAACATAGTTCCTAGTCAACGGGTTACGCCACTAATGAGGATATCGGTCTTTCCCATTCGAGACTAGCACTTAGTGTATGTGTACTACGTCTCATCAGTCAACGGTGTTGTGACATCGGCATACATAAGTGGGTGCTCATAAGTTGCTGAGGTCACTGAACTCCCTCAATCTAGAGATCTTTAAGTGGTTCCCAATAATCGAGTAGGGGTTTCTATGATATAGTTGTACACCATTAATCCTTAAGACCCAGACATCACCGTGGCTTCACTAGAGGACCAGCTGTATCGTGACCTGTCCCGGAGTTCCACCGAGGACCACCCCAAGGGCCAATGTTCATGTAGTCCAAAATCTAGTGGGAGGTCTGTGCATTGTAGTAGGAGATTCGATCGCTTGATTAGTCATGGATATCCTGTGTGTTCTTGCGATTTATATTCCATGAAGTCTTTGGCCACAGCTGAAAGTGCCGTGATTAGAGAAATGTGTTTCTGTAAGTCAAACACGAACGGATTATGTAACCAAGAACATCCACACTGTTATTGAACTCATAAAGAGGTCTCGACGAACCAATGCCTCTAGTTCAATCGGGATATATGTATCGAAGGGATCCTACTGTACGTTAACTATATCACACGGTTCTTTCTTGCAGGCACTTCATTTGTATCTAGGGAATCATGACGCATAGTTGCTAGACGCCAATCTTGATTCGTTGGGTAGTTAAGTTGAAACTAGCTTCAACATAATTGTAACTCTAGGGGCGAGTTTAAACACAATTGGTTGTGGGCCCACGGCTAGCTTACACCTGAACCATCAAGGGTCACACTGCTCGTGTACTTGAGTTCCGTAATGCAACTAGCTAAGATTAATTAGTTAATTTTAGTGTAATTGGAAGTCAATGTGATTGAGTCCAACATTCGTAATTGTTAATTACGAATGAGAATAAGTAGAGGAAAATAATCCAACGGAAATTTAGTGAACTTTCTATTTTGGGAAGTTTCCCAATTTGGCAAGTCCTAAATTAGGGTTTCCAATTTCGGAAATTGGTAAATTGCAAAGTGGTACTCGTATCGACGAGGATTTGTGCTCGTCGTCAAAATAAAATTGTTATATTTTTGCGAGCATTCGTTTGTTAGAAACGAGCCGAGAAAGAGAGTGGACTTAAGTTGTTGGGCCTAGCCCAACTTAAGGCATGTTAGGGTTTTCACAAGGAGCATATAAATAAGATTTATATGTCTTGTGAAAGATATGAAAAAACACACAAAAAACGACATAACACAAGCTTGAAACCCTAGCTTCTCTCCCCACGACCGTCCACCTTGTAGCCGAAACCCTACCTCCGCCACCAGCCGTCGCGCCGCCGTCGGTCGCCGCCGCATCGGCATCTTCCTTTTCCCTTGGTTCTTCTTCGTTGTACTTAGCCTATCACGTATCTAGTGCTGCGTGGATAGTTGAATATACGAGGTGAAACCTAAGAGGAGGAAGATTATTATACCCCCAACGCCGCCACCAGGGTGTCCCCACGCGCCCCCACGCACCGCCACAAGTCGGTGATGCGAGAAGGCAATTTTGAAAAACTACTCTCGGATTTTCTGCGCAGTCCGGCGAGAAAATTCTGCATAAATCAACTGGTGATCGGATGGACGTGAACATTTGAAAGAAGCTTCACGACTCATAAATCTCCAATCTCCTAGAAGAAATTGTCCATCTAGTAAATAACCATGGAGATATTGAAGTCGGAGCAGGGCTGTAATTTCAGGGCTGTAATTTCAGATCAGCAAACACGTTTGATCAGTAGGAGTGGGAAGAGCAGCTAGCCATCTTCTCGAGTCTTCGTTCGATTCACGCTTCAAGGCTAACATATCGTTTTCCGTAATTAATATACATGTATTAATTAATTTATATAAATTGAGATTAATGTATGTTAATTGATTATTGAATCTGATGAATCTATATGTTCGATTATGTGTTTATATGAATCATTCGTTGAGCATGTTTATTATTTGTTTTAATTTCGTGAGCATGCTATGATGATTTAATTTATGTTATTTAAATTAAGGGTTAAATACAAAAACACCCATGTACTATGGACTTTGTATCATTTACCCCCTGTACTACACATAAATACAAAAACCCCCCTCACATTGCATTTTTTCCGAAATATGACGAAAATACCCCTATATATATATAATTTTTTTTTTCTTTTCTGTGAGCCATTATCCACCATATATTTTACCATTTTCAGTCAATTTTACGTTGAAAATTTTGGTATTTATAATTTTTCTCCAAAACATCTAATTGCTTACATTTTTTTTTTCTAAATAAAACCTTTTATTTTTGTCATTTTGAGTTTCTTCATTTTTTTTTCTTAAATGTCTTCCGGTAGTTCAAACATCCTAAGATTACAAACATCTTTACAATCCTATTATTGTTGAGAATTTGAACTACCGGAAGACATTTAAGAAAAATAAGAAAAAATTCAAAATGACAAAAATAAAAGGTTTTTATTCAGAAAATTTAAAAAAAAATCTAAGTAATTAAATGTTTTGAAGGAAAAAGTAAAAAAATAAAAATTTCCCAAGTAAAATTAACCGAAAATGTTAAAAAATATAGTGGAAAATGGCACAAACAAACCCTTATATTTATAGGTTTAGCAGGGGTATTTTCGTCATATTTTGGAAAAAATATAATAGCAGGGGGGTTTTTGTATTTATGTGTAGTACAGGGGGGTAAATGATACAAAGTCCATAGTACATGGGTGTTTTTGTATTTAACCCTTAAATAAATTATATATGCGAGCATGTTTGTTGGTGATTGGAAGCGAAAAGGTACGCACTTAATTGTAATTTATTGTGCACTTGTGTTTATATAAATTTGTTTATATAAATAAAAAAAAAAAAAAATATTCCACTGCGTACACCTTGAAGATCACTGTTTCGTCCCCCACACTCATTCTTAGCTCTCTCTTTCCTACATCAATAATTGACCTACCGGTCGCTAAGAAGGGGCTTCCTAAGATAAGGGGAATATTTTCATCTTCCGCTATGTCTATTACTAGAAAATCGGCCGGGAGTATAAACTTATCTACCTTGACCAATACATCCTCCACTATACCTAAAGGGTGAGTAAAAGATCTATCGGCTAGCTGCAAGGTCACGGAAGTGGGCTTAATTTCTCCTAAATTCAATTTCTCATAAATTGATAAAGGCATTAAATTTACGCTCGCCCCTTGATCACACAACGCCCGCCCAAAATACCTAGTACCTATTGTGCATGGAATGGTACAACTCCCCGAATCTCTAAGCTTCGGTGGAATTTTATTTGCAAGGATCGCACTACTTTGCTCATTGAGGTCTACAATTGCTGCACACTCCGGAAGCCTCATCTTCTTCGACACAAGTTCTTTTCTAAACTTAACCCAATTCGGCATATGCTTAAGTGCCTCAACAAAAGGAATATTAACATGCTACTTTTTAAGATAATCCAAAAATAACTGAAATTGCATATCAAGCTTAGAGTTTTGAAAACGTTCAGGGAAAGGTACCTTGGGAGTAGGTTCACTTACCGTGATCTTTGTGTTGCTTGGCCCGACCTCGGTTTTTTCCTTGGGCTCCTCTACAATAGGCGGTGGTGCAACAGACCTTTAAGGACCTTCCTCTAATTGCCTCCCATTTCGCAAGCTCACTGCATTGCACTGCTCGATGTTGCTCTTTCGGGGATCCTCCGTATTCGACGGCAGTGCTCCCAACGGCCTCGCGTTTAGTTGGGTTGCAAGTTGCCCCATCTGTGTCTCCAAATTTCGAATGGAAGCTTGAGTGGATGTCATGAATTGAGCTAAGATATTTGCGAGATCTCCACCTTGAGGTGGAGCTTGAGGCGGATTTTGGAATCCGGGAGCTGGCCTTTGTTTGTCCTTGCTGATTTCCTCCCCATCCAAAGTTAGGGTGATCTTTCCATCCCCGATTATAAGTGTCGGAGTACGGGTTCTTCTGTTGTCGGTTGGTGTCATTCACGTAATTTAGAGACTCCGTTTCTTCTAAGCACTGGTCGGGACCTTGGAGTGCATGAACTTATGAACTTGCTGAGTCTGCAAAGCCGCCACTTGCTTTGATAGCTTCTCTAACTGGGCCGTGATTGCAGTGACCCCGTCTAACTCTAAAATTCCTCCCGTTTTAGTGGCTCCGCTGTTTGACCGATCCGATGCCCGCATGTATTTATTTCTAGCGATCCGCTCCAAAAGTTCGTAAGCTTCGTCATAGGTCAAGCTCATGAACATACCGCCAGCTGCTGAATCGAGCACCGTTCTCGAATTATCTTGCAATCCATCATAAAATATTTGAAGTTGCCGCCACTCTTGAAGTCCGTGATTCGGGCATCTCCGAATTAATTGTTTGAACCGCTCCCACGTCTCAAATAATGCTTCACGGGCTTCTTGTAAGAAGTTTTGTATTTCTCTCCGGATTCTCTCAGTTTTGGTTGGGGAGTTGTACGTATTCATGAAGAGATGTGCTAGCTGGGGCCAAGATGAGATGGAGTGCGGTGCACGAGTTTGTAACCATTCTCGGGCTGCTCCTTGCAAAGAGTGCTTGAAAAGGCGGAGTTGCAGTGCTTCAGGGGATACTCCGTTCATCTTGTGCGAATCACACGTTTCGAGAAAGTTGACCAAGTGGAGATGCGGATCTTCATGAGCTAATCCGCTGAACAACCCATTGTTTTGGAGCATAGTAAGGAGTCCAGCTCTAATTTCGAAATTATTGGCTTCAATGGGGGGCTGCTCGATGCTCGATTGGAACCCATTGAGTGTCGGAACGGTGTACTCATGCAAT